AAGCAGACCATGTTTAAGTTGAAAGTTTTAAGTTCTAATATCGATTTTTGAATTTTTGGGTAAAAATACGATTTTTGAAATAACAAAAATTACAAAAAAAAACAAACCCGTATTTGTCTTAAATCAATGGTTTTCATTAGAAAATAACACTCTGTAAATAATAGATCAATTGGGAAATTGTTTACCTCAGTACAGTGTATCCAATTTCATTATATATGGAAAATATATTGCCTTGTATCGTTTCTTCTGTTGACTAGTATATAAACGTTTTCCAAATGGAAACAACGTAAAATTTCAAAAAATCTTTATATTTACAAAAAGATATGTAATAGAATTCAAAAAAGGTTGACTTTTTTGTATAGAATTTTGATAGCATTTTGAATCAAACGTTTACTCGTATGCAGAAGGAAACCTGTAGTAAACACGCATTTTTAATGTAAAAAGTAAAATAACAAATATACTGAAATCCAAGGAGATTTCAAATCTGAAAAGTCCCTTACTAAATGGCAAAACCAAAAGCTCAAACACATCAAACGAATGGAAAACAACTGTCATGTTCCGGACTTGGTACAGGCATTTCCTTATGTAGAAAATGGTGGATTAAACCTGGTTTTAAGGTGTAAGGACCCTTTTTTGCCCAAAGTACTTTATTTCAAGTGAAAGTGTTACATGTATACCGTATGTCGAGCGTTGAATCGTCCAGTGTCTATGAAATTCAAATTTAACAGAAATAAACAAAAGATCAGCCAAATTCTCTAAATAGCTATAAACATTAAGATATTCGATAAACAACTACTGATAAGGTTCCCGACTTGAGATAAGCACATGGAATTTGTTATTGGAGGTTCCGTTTGTTGGTTTTCAATTCAACCCAAGTAATCGTTTGATTCAATGAAACTCTCCTCTTAAATAATTATTTCAACGCGTATATTATTCTTATAACGGTACATTTTCTTTAATTTCAGATATGTGGGACAAATGTATTTCCACCCTGCCAACTTCCATGCAAGATTCATAGAGCCAACAGCCTTGTTTCAAAAGTTTTCACATTGAATACCATAACAAAAAAGTGTTGTTTTTTTTTAATTTCACATTTTACATCCGTTCTTAAGTTATCTTTGACGGACCTGTGTATAAAGGTCACAATCCGGATAGAGAAAAACCTACCTTATGAAGGAGGCATTCTTTGAATTTAGGTTCAAAATACATAGGTATTTCTACAGCGGGACAACATGAGTGTGGCCTTAATACAGTCTTCCCTTAATACAGGTGACCTTTATACGGATTAGACTGTAAAGAGAGAGGGGGTTTATACGTTTATTCTGTTTATTTTTGTATCATAATGTTTTTGTCTAAAATAATGTCTGATATTAAGATATGCTCCTCGTGAGCCCACTTAATGGAATATGAACATCTTCTTCTTTTTGTCCTTCTGTATAATTTATGCTTTTATCAAAATACATACTTTTTAGATATCAGTGATACATAATTCAGATAAAAATTTCATCATTTTAAAATCAGACCATTTAACTTGAATGGGGTTCTCGGAACTATCATTTTTTATTGCACCTTTAATAAACAAGAGTGCACACGCTGAAGTGTCTCGCCTTCTTTACTAACCATTTATTTTATGTTGATAGTCCTAAATATAAAGCTTACTACAACTATGACATAAACTTGACATGATCCAAGAAAATGAGGTCAAGGTCACTGCCCGGTCAGATAAACCAAACTGGAAATACATGTACACCTTACAATCATTCCATACACTAGATATGCTTTAAATGTAGTTGACCTATTGCACAGAGTATCTAAGAAGCAAACTTCAAGGTCAGCGGATGAACCCTGCCAGACAGCATAAAATTGAGAATGGAAATGGGGAATGTGTCAAAGAGACAACAACCCGACCATAGAGCAGACAACAGCCGAAGGCCACAAATGGGTCTTCAATGCAGCGAGAAACTCCCGCACCCGGAGGCGTCCTTCAGCTGGCCCCTAAACAAATATGTATACTAGTTCAGGGATAATGGACGTCATACTAAACTCCAAATTATACATAAGAAACTAAAATTAAAAATGATACAAGACTAACAAAGGCCAGAGGCTCCTGACTTAAGCATACTAGTTCAGTGATAATGGACGTCATACTAAACTCCAAATTATACACAAGAAACTAAAATTAAAAATGATACAAGACTAACAAAGGCCAGAGGCTCCTGACTTAAGCATGTACACCTTACAATCATTACATGCTTTAAATATAGTTGACCTATTGCATATAGTATCAAAGAAACAAACTTAACCAGGAAAACTTAACATTGATCAATTAACCATGAAAATGAGGTCAAGGTCAGATGAACCCTGCCAGACAGACATGTACACCTTACAATCATTCCATACGCCAAATATAGTTGACCTATTGCTTATAGTATTAGAAAAACAGACCAAAAAAAAAAAAAAAATAACATTGACCAATGAACCGTAAAAATGAGGTCAAGGTCGAATAAAACATGCCGGACTGACATGTACATCGTAAAATATTTGCATACTCCAAATATAGTTGACCTATTGCATACAGTATTAGAAAAACAGACCAAAAACACAACAACTAAGTCAACTTAACTTTAACCACTGAACCATGAAAATGAGGTCAAGGCCAGATGACACCTGTCAGTTGGACATGTACACCTTACAATCATTCCATACTCAAATATAGTAGACCTATTGCTTGTAGTATCTGAGATATGGACTTGACCACGAACACTTAACCTTGTTCACTGATCCATGAAATGAGGTCGAGGTCAAGTGAAAACTGTCTGACGGGCATGAGGACCTTGCAAGGTACGCACATACCAAATATAGTTATCCTATTACTCATAATACGAGAGAAATTAAGAATACTAAAAACATAACTTTTTTTCAAGAAGTCAATGAACCATGAAAATGAGGTTAAGGACAATGGACAAATGACAGACGGAAACTTCATAACATAAGGCATCTATAAACAAAGTATGAAGGATCCAGGTCTTCTACCTTCTGAAATATTAAGCTTTTAAGAAGTTTGTTAACGCCGCCGCCGCCGCCGCCGGATCACTATCCCTATGTCGAGCTTTCTGCGACAGAAGTCGCAAGCTCGACAAAAACCAAGAAACTGTTTTTTTCCATTAACATACAGGACTAAGAATATTTCATAATCATAGTTTGATTTTTTTTTAAAGTAAAACAAATATATTTTTTTCGCTCCCTCTAAAACAATTTTTGACAAGAATTTTAAAAATCGAATAATTCATTTTAAAATAACCACACCCGTCCTCTTAAAATTAATTAAGGAGAATTGTCGATGTTTCATTTGTAATGTAAAGGGGAAGAGGCCCCAATTTGTAGCTTATCTCCCACTCTTTATGCTTTACTTTGGCATAAATAATATAACTACTTTTCAATATGTACATATGGTCACAATAAATCCAGTAAAATTACTAGTGTAAAACCATTCAAACGGGAAAACCAACGGTCTAATCTATATAAAAAACGAGAAACGAGAAACACTTATGAACCACATCAACAAACGACAACTACTGAACATCAGATTCCTGACTTAGGACAGGTGCAAACAAATGCAGCGGGTTTAAACGTTTTAATGATACCAAACCTTCACCCTTTTTCTGAAACAATAGTGTAACATCACAACATAGAAAGACATACTATAAAATATCAACTGAAATAGCTTAACTCAATCAAAGGACATATGCATATTAAGGACGAGAACAGACGAGAACAGAAACCACTATATGTATAGATTAATCAAAGGGGGATCGATCGGAAGAACAGAAAATTTAAAGTTCAACGTGAAAAAGAGTTGTTCACATTCTTGTCCTTTGGTTTTTGATTCAGTCATTTTGTTTCGCTCTGCTCAGCTCAATTGTTGAGATAAAAATCCTAAATTTCAACAAGTTCTTCCGGGAAAGTATTTTTATCTAAATTAAATTACTAACTTCTTTAATACACTGAGGATAGGAACAATGTGCTGAAATTGAACGAAGGTGTGGTAAATGTCAATGAGACCAAAACAGGCATATCTCAATAAATTTCCCTGAAGTTACAAACAACTTCCCCACTAAAAGCTTTATTTTTTCCACTTCTGATTTGTAAATAATACAATTATTAAAAGTTCGGGTTTTTTTTTTTTTTTGGGGGGGGGTTGAAAAGTTCATGTCTTTGGGAGGAGGGGTCTTGAATTTATTTTCCTCCTTCAAGGTGGTAACTTGAAAAAATAAAAGAAATTCAGATGTTTCCTCGCAAGTTACATATAAAGTATAAAACTTTCAAGACACAACAATCAATTAAAACATGCACATTTCTACACTCAAAATACTGATTTTTAGGAACAATACTGTAACAGACTCCAGGGTCGCCATTTCCAGAGATCAGGAAGAAGTCCGATTTTCATGTGATTATCATTATATGCATCAAAAACCAGCTTTACAGTTATTAATTGACTAATATGATTCACATCAATAAAATAACACAACATAAACTATATTTTATTGTTAGCACAAATAAATCAATTTACAGCCTCCAGACTCTACCAAACTTTAACAGACTTCTACAGACTATGTTCAGGAGTACCTTCAGTTTGGGGCATTTTATATAGAGTATACTATTCCCAGCCTCGGTTTCACATCATAACTTCTGCATAGAAGTCAAGGCCGCCATATTTCTGTTGCCAAATCCGCCCTTGGGTTCATAGTATAGAAGATAGTTATAATTTAGTATTATAATATATTTTCATTAAATAATTCTACTATATCATCCAGAACGGTTACTTAAAAATCTCTAGTACTTCCCTAATAAAAGGTACTTTAAACGTTTACTTTGTTGTCCATATATAAAGAAGAGATTGACCAGGACTTTAATTCAAGCCATTCTTAACACAATATAAAAATAACAATGGTCACTTTAATTGCTTTAGTTATCAACGGGCGACGGTTTTATTTGTTAACGAAGCTCGTGGTATTTTGTAATATGTAAATTAGATGGTTGTCATGCGAGTCTGGTATATAAAAGGAAATGACCAGTCCGCAAGACCAGAGACAGATAACTAGACAGTTACTGATCAACGTACAGATTCTAGCCGGTAAGTAACTCAGATTCTCACTTTTACTCTGTGATCACCTGTTATACGTTATCATTATATATTCCTACAAGCTACTTTATAAATAGGAAAACAAGTGGATGGTGTATAAATGACAGGGAATTCAACCTCACCGTAATAACTATTATATTGTAGTGATACAAATCAGTATACTCTGGTTTGTTGTTATGTATTATATTAATATTTGTATATAACAGTTACATGTATATATAATTTTCAACCATTTGTAAATCATTCTATTCTACTATTCTAATAAAAGTGCAGTGCAAGTGGCTGTGCATGGTGGACACTCTACTGTAATAATTCGATTTTTTTAATAGATTGGATTTGAGTAGGCATTCATATTTTCCCGCAAAACGTTCTTGAGATATTCTTCCGCATGCGTTAACACAAATTTTTTGGGTTTTCTTGATTTGTTATTGATATATGTATTTTTCACGACAAAACATTTTCATATCATTTATCTATGTTCTTAAAAATTATTTTCATGAATATATATTGATGAAATTGAAATATAACAAGCGATAAGGAATGTTATTTTGCGTTCGGTTATCAGTCAAAAACGAAAGTCAGGTGGGTAGAAATGTCTGTGGCAACAATACACCGGAATGCCCTCACGGTCATCCGATGTAAAAAGGGTGATCTATGTAAAGTTTTTTGCCACTTTAAAATAGTATTTATTTATTTTATAGTTCAAATCAATATTTTGAGAGGTTTTTGCCGGTACACAAAAACATATTTAAAAACAAATTTAAAGTTCAAATCAAATATCGAAAATATAAAGTAGACCATATTGAATTTTACAATGATAACAGACATTAGATAGAAAGCTAGTTTTCCGTAGAAATATTTAACGCCTAGGAAAATCTACAAAAGATTAATTTTTTTTTTCGTCTCAATACTGAAAAAGTTAGATGTCCATTATTTAATTGCATAATAGTACACAAACACAAAAATTGAATTAAAAAACATATTCATATATATTGATTTATATAATTTGCAAAGAAGTTTTTATCGTAGACGGAATGTTTGAAAGTCCTGATTAAAAAAATATCGATTTTGAAATTGAAAATGCCCTTTTAGTATTATGAGATTTACATATTTCAAATTAAACATTTTAAATGTACCGTTTAATTTTGCAATAAAACAAAAGGAAGCAATATTGAAGTATAAGTTAACCCACTTTACTCGCTTCGTCACAGTCTTTAGAAATTTCTCAACTTGTGTCCAAGATATCTTTCTGCACCGAAAAAGAACCCGTTGGCGCCACAACTTATTTACGCCAATGCCACTTCTGCGCTACTTCATTTTGAAATCTATAGGTTTCATTTGCGCCAATAAAATAAAAATACAATGGCGCCAATTTAAGTTTTACTTATGTATTATATCTACAGGCTTGCCGGGACCGGCAGTTAACCGCGGTTCTATAACTTTTTACGGAAAGTTATTTTTACAATATTCTATGGTCACAATGACACTCATTTGTGTGGAATGTAAATAACGATTGTCTTTTTCTATGCAACCATTATCTTATCATTATTATAGTATATAAATGTATCGACTAAACAAGCACACTTAGTTGACCAAAATATTTCTCTACTTTTTTAATTTTTCCCAAGTTCCGATTTATCATTGATTGTTGGTTGCTTAACGTCCAGTGGAAAATAGTTCTGAAACGCGAGACTAGGCGAGAGTTTTCAACATGTAACAGTTCTTTTTTATCTAGCGGGGAGGAGTGAAATGTTCTAGAGAAAACGTGGTATTTTTTTTTTCTTCAAATTACAGTTCCGTTATATTAAGTAAACTTAAATTGATTTGGTAAAGTGCAAGAATACATTCTTTTCGCTCTAGGCAATAGGCATAGTTGTCCGGATTTCAACCCACACCAATAACAAAGCCAGAAAACGTATAAGCTATTTGCTCTTGTACCTTATGCTAAATCCATAAAATGCTGATATCATCCAACATTTTTTTTGTATAAAAAACAAAACCATCGGATAAGATAAGCTTTAAATGGTCTTGAATAAGATATATCTATCAATACGTATTTTGTTTATTGTACAGCATAGAATATTATTTCTTATGAAAACTTTCCGTAATCCGTGATACTTGCATAGGATAATATGTAGCTATGCATTATCATGGTATATGGGATAATATCCGACCGATATTATCTCATATACCATGATAATTCATAGCTACGTATTATCTCATGTGTCTGGTCAATTTTTTAACAACAAAAATGAAAACTAAAATCAGATAGTTTGATATTTGCTGACAATAATACAATTCACCAATTTAAGAAGACTTAAAGTTTCGACCAGAGTCAGAAATTAGTATTACATTAAATAAAAATACTTTCGTTTTTGTTATAGCTTACTTAAGGATGTTCGCTCATCTTGTTTTTGAATTTTTGTCAGATATTCGGAATCCTCTGGTTTTATTCATGTAGTGCTAACGAATATTTTGCCCGCTAACCCCTACTTTTCTTTTCATAATTTTATTACATATAGTTGAAAAAGCCATATTTGAAAATCTTATAAAATTCTTGTTATTTTTTCATAGTTTTTGAAAGAAAAAAGGTGCCAATGTTAAATGTATGACAAATCTAGAGAGAATCATTTCCCGCTAATTTTTCAATGGCTTATATCGAAAACAAAGTCACGGACCCTTCATTTTTTTTCTGCTTTTTTAGTTCCGTTATTTATATACTATCAATTTATAACAGTCTTTTTAAAAGTTTGTTATTTTGAAACAGAGTAGCGAACATCCTTAAAACTAATAAATTGCAATCCTTTTATTTGTATTTTCAGAGAATAACAAACATGAAAATTATCATTTTCATTGTGATCGCTTTGATCGGCGCATATGAAGCTAAAGGGTTTCATATGAAAAGGGGAGGAGGCGACAGGGAAAAGGATATCCAAGATGCTATAAAGAGTGTCCAGGAAGGGTTCGGCCAGGACAAGGAAGCAGAGATCCGTGAGTGTATGGGAAAAGAAGACAACTGTGAATCTGTCGGATGTTTCTATTACATTGTCTCTGGACTTACCGATGATGAAGAGTACCACCAAATGGTTGTTGAATGGGCCCTTGGACTACGTAAAATGTGCTGGACCGATATCTGCGAAACATGTGGTTGGTGTGAAGATGAAGATCGTCGAAGGTCTAACAAAAAAGATGCCGTCAGCGACGCTGTTCAAGATATCCAGAAGAACTTTGGAGTTGATAAAGAAGAAGAGGTCCGCGCTTGTCTGGACAAACCAAGTTGCGAATCAGTTGCTTGCTTTTACATGCTGGCCAAAGAGCTTACCGACAAAGAGGATTATCATTTCAAGGTTGGCAGCTGGGCACTGAAAGTTAATAAATTGTGCATGGAAGATGTATGTGAGAAATGCGGATGGTGCAAAGAGGAGCGCCGAAGATCTTTCCCATCAGTCAAAAAGTCTCCTGCAAAACAAATTTCAAGCCTTAGTCTCTCCGCAAAGAAACGCTTCCTGTCACATTTGGACTTTTAAACATACATTGACCAGACCAATTAAAGGACATTTCATGAACTGAACAGCCACGTCGTTAAATGTCTAATTAATTTCCTTTTCTTTCAGAAGTTATAAGAACATTTTTCGTAAATTGTTAAAATAAAAATGTGTTAATAAACATATATGCATATATAGTGTATTATTTTTAATTTACAAAGTGATTCATTGTGCCCAGTTTTTCAAACAACAACACAAAACGACCTTTGACGACTTAATGCGGTAATCAGAATCTTATCAGATTAAAGCGTATCTTTCTCCCCTTCACAATTCACAGCCTTGTTGAATAATTTCGTATTGTGTTCTTATATTTTTACGTCGAGCATGTGTGATGCATTGAGACGGGGACATAACTCTTTATAAATGTGGAGTGTCAGAGAAACGGTTTTCTGGAGAGAAAAAAATTGAGAGCCAAGGATGTATAGATATTTGAATATTCAATGAGCTATATGACCTAGAGCATGCTTAAGGGAACTAAAAAGAATACCAACATCAACTTATACGGTCAACTTTGCCTGAGGGAGTTGGCTCAGTCATATAAGAATTCAAAAATCTTATATCAGTCAAAATCGACCTCTATTAAATGCAAAATATGGGATAAATCACACTCATTAATTTTGTTTACTCTCCTTTTGAAAACTTTGTTGTGGTCTAGTAACCGCTCCGTATATCCGTCCGTCCGAAAGCCCTTTGGTAGAAAACTTTTGTCAATTTTTTCTTGGATTCTATTAAAGGGTTTAATATTTGGTCGGCAGTTTCATAATATTGAGTTGTAGCGAGTAAGCATTTTTCATCTGCCATGTTTACACTTCCTCTTTGCCAAAAGTTTGAAATTTTACAACACTAATTACACTAGGAAAATATTTGTTAAAGTTTTCTGGTCTCCTATTGAAGGAAATGATATAATATTTCGTCTGCAGCTTGAAACACTCATTGTACAAGGAAAATTTTCGTCACATTTGTTTTACTTTAATGAAAGGGAGGGATTAGTAATGCTTCAGTATACATTGATAGATTGATTGTTGGTTGCTTAACGTCCAGTGGCAATTATTTCATGCATGTTCAGGACGAGAGCAAAATAAAAAGTAAAATAGGTAGAGCCTATATATATAAAGGCCGTCTGGGATGAAGTTACGTCGGGGAAAATTGGACTACCACTGTAAAATGAGGGTATATTTGATAGGAACAGACATTTTGCCTTGCAGCAGACCAACTACGGACCCCTCAAATAGTTGTTGTTGCAACGGTTCTTAACGTGATAAGAGCGTGACATTCTCTTTACATTAAGCATCGGATTTAGCATCCCCATTCTGACTGGACATGACTACGTACCTGCACTACCAAACCGATGCATGCCCACTCTGGCAAGGGTTTTACTGCCGGTCGGAAGAAGACCAAGAGTGACCATTTTTCTATTCCCCAGTCACCCTTGGGGTCAATAAACATGTTACATTAATAAATGGCACACAGCGACACAGGTCGAGACCCGGTATTGGTGTTGTTTACTACATAGGAAAAGGGGAAACATGAGGTATACGTTTTGTGACAACAACGCAAAGACCCTCTAAACACTGACAACCAGTGCTAAACGTAGCTCTTCAAAGACAGAAAAATAACCATGTCTGATGTCAAGTTCTAAAGTTAACCGAGGGTAGTTAAGTTGTGAAAAGTTCAACTTTTGGGCAAAAGATTTTGATGAATGAATATAATAGATACATAAATGAGGGTCTGGATGGGGGTCCTTCATTTCTGTGTTCTTTAATTTTATAGGTCGTTTTACTCTATTATTTATATTTTTTGCCCATTATGTTCTATTCTGTAAACCCTCATCAACACGCTCATACATCTCTGGAAACACTATAATATAACAAATGCTATATCGTATGATCCGCGTGTTTATTACTGTTTTTTAACATGCAGATTGTTGGACGTCTTCAGTCACATATGCAATATTCGTACAGTGTAGGGAAATACAAAAAATATACTAATTCATGTGTACGAGCTATAGAAAAAGGAGAAAAGATAGAATGTTTCGTAGCAAGTATAAATAGATGTTTTTTCTTACAGTGTATATGTACGAATATCTTTTTATCCTGCAATCAAACATTGAGCATTTACGTCAAAACAATTCAATTTGTTTTAAATGAAATCGACATGACTTAAACTCGGACCAGGATAAGGACCCAAATTAAATTGTGATGGTATTTTTATAACTGACTATACGGTATCGGTTTTGCTCATTGTTGAAGGCTGTACGGTGATCTATAGTTGCTAACAACCGCATCATTTGGACTCTGTTGGATAGTTGTCTCATCGGCAATGATACCATATCTCCTTATTTTATACAGTTTCATTCATTTGTACTCGATCCGCAATGTAATCTCACATACAGTTTATTTTTAAATTGACAGGCGTTGTATCTCTATGGATAGTCATAGCCCATTATTTTTTCTTTGAATAGAAAACATTGTCACACATTATAAAATTCATATCTAATAATATTAAACAACTTATGTGACCTCGATTTATTGTGAAGAACAGAACACAATTCTTCAGAAAACATAACAGGTTATAAAATAGAATATATTATCAAAAGTACATGTCATTGAATACTTAAGTCAGAAATTTAAACACAGATAAAATAAAATGTTCCAAAACGCCTTTAATTTAAAAAAAAACCATAACACATTATGATATTTATAAGTACACTCATTGATGAGTTTTCCTATTTGGAACGAGCCAGTGCACATGTGATGGGATTCAATTAGTTTTATTAGTCTTATCCTTTTAGTCTCGATCAGAAAAAAAAACAATCAGTGGTGAATAGAACAAGACCAGTACCGGGTCTGGATCTGCGTCGCTGCATGCAATTGATAGAGGCAACCTGTATACTAAAGCATAACTGATCATTCCATTTCATTAAGGACAAAAACAAATAAAATACTTTGGCCATTGGTACTGGACACAGTACACGTGTTACTGTCCTATATGTCTCAACAGCTTTGGCCTTGGCGCTAAACATAGTTTAAATGGTTTTTTGTTCAAGTCTAGGCAGCTACATTTATGGTATTATGGTATAATGATAATACGGAATTATGAATTCAACGTTGATTAAAAGACGGTCACTGCTAATTTGGAAAATATGCTTCATGCCGATCTGATGAGTCAAGCCGTTTCCAGCTATTTATTTTTACAGTTTGTTCTTAACGTTTTGCTGTTACACCACTGTCCTAGGTCAGGGAAGGGTTGATTAATAACTAACATGTTTAACCCCACTATATTCTGTACATGTATGTGCCTGTCCCAAGTCCGGAGCCTGTAATTCAGTGGTTGTCGTTGGTTACTGTCTTTTGTATTTGTTTTTCGTTTATTGTTTTGTCATAAATCAGGTATTTGGTATTTTTTCAATGTTTTTTGGTTGTTTGAATTGTGTTACATATTACCATGTCAAGGCTTTTTATAACTGACTATACCATGTCGGATTTGCTCATTGTGTATTGTGACCTGTAGTTAAAACAGCTTCATTTGGACTAGATAGTTGTCTCATTGGCAATCATACCGCATCTCCTTATTGTATATATATAGTTTCGTTCGTTTTTACCACGGGGGGGGGGGGGGGGGGGGGTCTCTTCCTATATGAAGGTATATACATATGTGCCGCTGGAATGGGTCCCTTTTTTGATACGTCAGATATATCAATGGGGTGCAATTTTACCGAGGAAATATATCAATAGGTAGTAATTGACCAATTGTGATATATTTAGGTACTACTTGAGCTGATAAATATATGAATGGGTTATGATTTTGATGTGAAATATATGTATAGGTAGGGATTTCACAATTATTCAATATATGAATGGGGGGTGTTTTTTAAATCCCAGCTGCACAACTGTACCCAAAATCCAATGTTGAGACCCCCCGTGGTTTTTACTCGATCTGCAATGTCACATAGTGTTTATGTTTAAATTGACATAGGCGTTGTATCTTTAAAGGTTGTCTTAATCCATTTATATTTGCATTGAATAGAAAACACACAATATAAAATTCATAACTTATACTGTTCAATAACTTATGTGACCTCGCTTTTTTTTTTATGGAGAACACAATACTTCAAAAAAACTTAACAGGTTAGAAAGTAGAATATATTACTAAAAGTACAGTTGGATTCTAGTTAAAAATTTAAACAGAGACAATAAAAAGAAAGATTTTCCAAAATACCTCATTTTGGTCTTGTCAGTTTGTTTTCGACTCACGAGTTTGAATATCCCTATAGTATCTTTCGCGTCTCTTTATTAAAGAACATAACACATTATGATATCAACATGGGTCCTCATTGATAGGTTTCCTGACTTGGAACAAATAAGTGAACAGGAATGTGATGGGATTCAATCAGCTTTAATCCTCTACTTTTAACATCGATCAGTAAACAATCCGATGTAATAAACACCAATACTGACTGTTTTTAGACCGTCGAGGAACAGTGCTTGGTTGCAAGACATCAAAGAATAGGAAAATGAAAGAATTTCGTAAAACCAATTAAAATGCTTAAAGATTGTTGTTCCAATAATAGGTAGAAAATCCTTAGAAATGAAAATAAAACTTAATATATTTCGTGCGTCCGAAGCGATTATCTGGATTTGCCTTCATCAGGAGGTCTCAAATCTACATTTAATCAAAGTACTGAAGTACTGAACATCGGATGACCGCAAGTTCTGGTGGATGGTCACAAGCACTTGTCTCAGAAAAAAAATCATATCTCTATACCTGAAAGTGAGGTTAAGGTACATAGATATATTTTTTTTTTTATCTAAGACACGTTCCCAAATAATTATATAGAATTTGAATAATTTTGAAGGAAAACTTTTGAATTTAAGATTGACAATCAATAGCTATGTTCTAGAAAATAACTAGATATTTCATATATTTGCCTCTAGATGTTGTATGGTTATTCATGTGTTGGTTGGGTTGCCGTCTCTATATTATATACCCATGTTACTTTTATACATATTATTAATTTAAAACAGCATGCAATTATAGCAAACAAAAGCAGCAAGGATGAAAAGCAATATTTACATAGTTTGTTTCTCGAAAAGCCGGTAAAAAAAATGTCACTGTAATTTTGATCTTTGTAGTTT